CACAACAAGCTTATGCTACTTTGCTTCAACAATATGAAACTTTTGCCAATCTTAATATGGAGCTATGTACTAAAATTGAGCAACTTGAGCCTAGTGCAAACACAAATAATTTCATAATCAATGATGAGCAACTTGTAAACAAAAATAAAAAAAAATTAAAGAAAAAGTTAGCTAGCTCACAAGATGCTTATAAAAGTTTGCTTGCTAAAATGAAAACTATGTGCAAACATTGTGATGAGCTAACTAATAAAGTTACTAATCTTGAAGCCATCGGTACTACCCCCACCAAGACACCTCAAAAGGAATGTTCTATTTTTAACATACCTAAAAAGGATGCCTCTACTTTTTATAATGATTTATATTTAGACTCACCCTTGTGCAACCAAGTTTGTATTGAGAAAATTATTGTAGAAACATGCACACAAGAGGTCGCAAGGGAGAATGAGCAACTCAAGAAAGAAGTGGCTCGCCTCACCAAGGACTTGACTCAAGTGAAAGGCAAGACGGAGGGAGCTCAACTTCATCAAGATAACACCATCAAGGGAGTGAAGAAGTTTGATGAAGGACAAACCGTGGTTTGCTACGTATGCCATAAGGAAGACCACAAGTCCTATGAGTGCAAAGTGAAGAATAGGGGAGGAGCTAAGAAGAAAGAGAAAAACAAAAAAACAAGCAAGCTCTCCAACACCTACACCAACAAGGTGGACAAGAAGGGCTCTATACCATGCTTGTTAAAGAAGAAGAAAAATGACAAGGTGGTGGCCATCAAGGTGAACAAGCAAACCAACAATGGGGTCAAACGCTTTTAGGTGCCGAAAGAGATCATTTCAAATATAAAGAGCACCAAGAAGGTTTGGATCCCGAAATGGAAGTAAGAAGTTCAATGGACATCGGGGAATTTAGAGACTTAGCAAAGTATGGGTGCATTTCATGGGGTGCATCACATTGGATCATGTCAATTGCCAAGTGGGTTAGTGAATACTATGGACCTAAATTTCCCTTCTCATGTTAGGTAACTAGATTTAATTTCTTACAATTTCAACTAGCATTTAGTTCATTTTCATGCCTAGGTTTGCATTTACATATTTAATGTTTTGTCTTGCATATACTAGGTATATCTTATGGTAGGCTTGCTCGGTTTTACTCTTAACCCTTGGAACAAACCTACATGGTTTAAATTGTTTAGGAGCACGACACATAGCTTGTTTTACAATTATTCATCTAATATGTGCCAAAGTCCAAATTGTAGATAATTTCTCCCAAATATCACTTTCGAAAATGATTCTCACATTCATGTGATGTCATCTTTCAAGTGGCATTTTTTATTCTAAAATCAATGTGCATGTCTCCTACAAGTATTCCATACTTGTGTGCACAAATTTAGGGAGATGTTACTCTATAAGTTGGATGCTTTGAGACTAACACCTTTTCAAGCTTATCATCAGCCTGTTCGACAGCCTATATCCGGCTTATAAGCCTTGGTTATCAGCCACCCAACAGTGTTTTCCTCTCACACCAAACCAGCCAGCAGTACTTTCAGCCATGGCTTATAAGCCAATCTAGCCGAAACAAACAGACTGCATGTGTGTAGTAGTCTCATTGCAAGAAAAATGGAGTCCCCGAAGTTAAGCATCATACTTCAAATATCCATCACCTATTGCTAGTGGTATAAATCAAATTGGTTTCCGCATGTGGTATTTTTAAACCGATATCATCATGTTGATTTCACTTTGGTATTTATATGCTTTCTTCATGCATTATATAGATTATACTCCCTTGAGCATTAATTTGCCAATTATGCATAAACTACATTCTCCGTCATATGTATGCATATATTTAGGGGGAGCTTAGTCTATGTAATGTAAGAGTCAAATTTTGTGACCTATTCCACTGCACATACAAAGAATCACAAAGTTTGACCATCCCTTGTGCTACTAATGTCTTTCTTTTCGGTGTTTGATTCCAAAGGATGAGAATTTGTAGGACCAAAAGCTAGCCCGATCATAATAATTTACAAGTGGTAATGGTCCAAGAAAGAGAGGATAGTGGATTATGGAGTTAGGGGAGGCTTAAATCTATAATGCCACATAGGGACATTTACAAGGACAAGATAAGTTTTCAAACATGTTTACATGTGGTATCTTTTAGCATCATATAACATTGCCCTTGCATTGTATCCTAGCAAGTAAATAGTTTTTAAATTCCAAATTTTTTATTATTTGCTTGTTTTTGGCGTGTTGTCATCAATCACCAAAAAGAGGGAGATTGTAAGGAAAATGGACCCTAGGCCCATTTACTTTGGATTTTGGTGTTTGATGACCAACACAACCAAATTGAACTAATAGATTTGCAAGTAATTGTTTTGTAGTTCAATAGGATGCAAAACGTGACTTGGACGAAGGCGACGTGATGATCCGATGATCAACACCTCAAGAAAGATATGTGAAGATGCATAGAAGACATACAAGGTCAAGCAAAGTCCAAGCACGAAGATTGGAACCAAGCCGAACGCAAGATCGTGAAGAAATGAGCTCGTCAGAGGTGACCGGACGCGGCCCTAATAAGGACCGAACGCGTCCGATCAGTTGCTCGGCAACACCAGGCGTCGACAGCTATGACCGGACGCTGATCAACAGTGACCGGACGCACCGGTGACACTATTCATCATCACGATAGTGATTTCAGCGTGACCAGACGCAGCAGACTAGACGACCGAGCGCACGAAGTGCAGCGTCCGATCATTTCTAGAGAAGTTCTAGAGCTGCGCCAGCGCGACCGGACACGTCCGGTCGATGATGACCGGACTCTAAGCTGAGTCCGATCAACGCGCGCGCTCCAACGGTCGGGACGACCGGACGAGTCCGGTCAGGACGTGATCAACGTCTGGTCAGTAGCAGAAAGCTGGGTTTCACCCCCAACGGCTACTTTCTCTATGGGGCTTATAAATAGACCCCCAACTAGCCATTTGAGACGTGTGGAGCGGAGGAAACATACCAAGGATGTTAATACACCATTTTAGTGATCTCCACTTATATAGTGCTTAGTGATTCATTAGGTGCTTTGCGAAGTGCTTCGGTTGATTAGACCACCGTTTATGCGCTTGCTCTAGGTTTAGGCCTAGTGTTGAGTGGGGTTTGCACACCTCTTATCACTCAGTGCTTGCGCGCACTATTGTTGTACATCTGATGGACTTATAGTCTTGCGAGATCACACCAACCGCGTTTGTGGTGTGGCCGTCATCGTGTACCGAAGGGAACATGGCACGCGGCGGTTCGGCCAGAAGCTTGATAGTGAAGACGGCGGGGAGCGGTCTAGGAGAGGCTTTCTGGAAGGCACATCGAAGACCCACTTGCGCGTGGGAAAGGTCCAGGGCTATCCACGGAGTTACCCGACCGGTAGGTTGGCCCTTGCGAGGGGCTCCAACGAGGATTAGGGGAAAGCTTGCGCGCTTCTCGATACCTCGGTAAAAATAACAGCCGTCGATGGAAGTTTGCATATCTCTACCTTACTCTTTAGCTTCCGTATTTACATTGTTTGCATAACTCCTTTTGCGGTAGAGATAGCAACACACTAGCAAAATCGTAGTTGCACATTTAGATAGTTTATCTTTTGCATAGGTTTTGCTAAAAATAAAAAAAGATGCATTAGTTAGAGTTAGAGTTTTAAGTTACCTAATTCATCCTCCTCTTAGGCGTCACGGTCCCCTTTCAGAGGGGAAAGAGGTCTCCTCCGTGAACAACTTCGCTAGGCCCCAGTTGGCCAGTCACCAGAGGCTCAACCGCTGATGAATCAGACCATGTCCTGTAGTCGTCGGGGCTATTGCTGCTACTCCCATAGACACACCGTTACCATTGTCATTGCAGCGGCCACACACACCGGGTAGAATGAAGGCCCTTATCAGCCGTCCGTGAATAGCTCATCAACTGTGGCAGCCATGCCCGCAAGGACTCCCTGTTGATGAATGGAAACAAGCATTTTTTGTGTCTTACCAGACGGTATGACAAAATATTCCCGAGAGGGGTTTCTGGTGGGTGCTCTAGATGGCTCATCGGATGGTCCGATGGTGTTTTAGACAGTCCCATGAGGAACGACCCGATGAGTGCAGCTAGGTTGAAAGTGTGGATCTTCGAAGGTACAAGGCATTGGATGATCTGAATGGATAAGGCGAAGGGGATCATGCCTAAGTGTAATAGTCCTTGGTTGGTCAGAACATTCCGTGGGCTATTGAGCTGTCCGATGAACCTCATCGAATGGTTCGATGGGTGTCAACATAACCTATTTTGGTAGGTGTTCTTGTGGCTTTAGATATATTTGGAAACTTTTATTCAATGTTTGAGTTGTGTTATACCTAAATTTGTTAATGTAGGTATCCTGCTATGATTCATCTTATGCTTGAAAACTAAAATGAAGTATTGCACCTTATAGGTCACATATGTTCTTTTTCATATATGTAGTTTATCTCATCCTGTAATCCTTACGTGATGCAACACAATGATTGGAATCTAGATATATTTGGATCATAATATGATCAAGTTTTTTTGTGTGCTTTTTTCCCCATTGGCGAAATACCTTATCCCTGTCCGCTGATCTTTTTCTCGAATCGACAATCATCTAGGTTTCTATCGTGTTGTTCTCCTTGCAATGATTTTGCATTTTTAATCCAACTTTTACCGTACACATGAATGAATAAATGATTTACAAGGACGTGCGCATGGGCGCACGCAAAATCACTAGTGTCATCTAAAGGGGTACAAGTTCAAGAATTGTTCAAAAGTCATAATTATATCTTTATTTGACAAAAGAAACATACGAGCAATTCCAACTCACTCTAAATTAACCGTGCTATAATCTTATTCGGCCTGATGATCAGTGCATGATCGAACAAATTAATGCCAAAGAAAAAACTCACGGCACCTATCTCAAATAGATAGTACCGGTACTTATACTGCCATAGATCTTTGTGAATCTATGTATAATATATCCCAACAACGAAACCGAGATCAGCAGTAACAGTGGCACTTGTGGTGGCCACTGCGGAACTTGCACTCGCCGCCGCGGCAGGAGGTCTCGCACCACGAGTTGCAGTCACTGTTCTGATCCGAAGAGCACCCGTTGATCTGGTTCTGCGAGCCCCATGAAAGATAGTCTTTGCAGCACATAGGATTGGACGAGGCTACGGCAACACGCAGATATCACATGGACAAGAAGACAAAGCATGCATCCGTTAGCTATTAGTTGCTGAGAGAATAAAACGTGTCCTCGTCATCGTCAAATTACCTGCCGACGCAACAAGAAAGGCGAGCACAGCGAGCACAACTACTGCAATCGTACGCACCATGATCCTCGATCTGTATAAGAATTTCTTTACGAGCTAGAAGAAAATATTTCGATCTCGATCGATGATGTTACAATTCGTCTTTGGATGCCTACGGCAATTTATACCTGGAGACTACGTGCATTTGGTTCTGCAGTATGCAAATTATGGAAATTAATATTGTTATTTACTACATCATGGAAGTTAAAACGTTTCCTATATTATTTTTCGATTTACTTCCCTTCCAAATTGTTACACAAATGAATGCCTCCCAAACCAACATACAGGACGTATGCAGAGGAGGCCGGTTTTCAAAGTTCACCTATTACAAATCACATCATTTGTAAAGTAGTAAAGTTACTTTGCGCTGCTTTACTTCTTCATGAAAATATAATAACATCACGTAATTGTATTTGTATATCTGTGCAAGAAGTTACAGAGCTTTGTTACTTATTTTCATGGTTAGACAGCACGGTTATTGCCCAATTCCGAACACGCGCGGTGAAGCGTGCCTCCCCAATGTCTAGTCACCGTCTACGGGCTTGTTTGGATGTAGGGTTTTCAGTCCAAAACCAGTATAAATTACAGGCCCATAATTTTTTACAGCCCACTCTTCGAAATGTTGTTTGGATGGACGGTGAGCCCACTAAATTACTCCTGTATTGGACCAAAGCGGTTGGAAAAAAATGTTTCCTATGGAGGTCTGGTAAGGTCCCGTTCGCTGGTCTGAAACTTGGCTGAAACTGGCTGGTTTTGTGAGAGAGAAACACTGTAGTGACTAGTTGATGAACAATATTTTGTGAGGGGAGTCAGCCGGCTGGTCTGGACCAAACCAGCGAACGCGCCCTAAATTTTAGGAGAAACATCGGGCTCAACTCGCCCGACGCCTCGACTCCTCTCGACACATCAACTCGCCCGAGCCACCGCCGGCGGCGGACGGCAGATCCAGACGCAATTCCTGGAGGCAGATCCAGATCGCCCTCCCCGTCCCTGTCCCCGTTCGCGAGGATCAGGTCGGCGGCGGCCGCTGGGGACGAGACGGAGCACGTCTTCCGCAAGTTGGATGCCAACGGCGACGGTCATATCTCACGGTCCAAGCTCACGGCGCACTTCAAGAGCGTCTGCCACGTCGCCACCGATGACGAGGTGTCCCGCATGATGCCATGATGGAGGAGGCTGACGCGGACGGCGACGGCTACATCAGCCTGCCCGAGTTCGTTCGCCGTGCTCATGGAGTCTGCATCCACCAACGCCACCGCCGTCGAGAAGGACCTACACTATGCCTTCATGGTCTTCGACGCCGACGACAACGGCCTCGTCATCACGCCCGCTGAGCTCGCGCGCCTTCTGCGCGGCCTCGGGGAGACCGCCACCATCGCGCAGTGGATGTTCAACGTTCAAGCACGGCAAGTTAGCGGATACTCTTCACCCAAACAGCAAACCCAGGAGAGAAAAGATACACCCGTATTCAAGGGGTTTTGTTGTGCACAAGAATTTACACTTGTAAACTAATTACAGATCCAAAATATTACCGACATGCCAAACAGAGCCTAAGGGCCTGTTCGCTGGTTGGTGCTGGTGTTGGTTTGGTGCTGGTTGTTTTTTAGAGAAAAACACTATTGGCTGGCTGGTTTGGGCTGATTGAAACCAATAAGTGAACATGTTGTAAGAGTGTGTCCACAAAAACAGGTGCGGTGTTTTTTCTAACACCAATCATCATGCTTAAACCAGCCTTTGGAGTTTAGAACCACCTTATCAACCGATCTTCCATATCGTTGCGCAACGTCCAAATAAGCAAACCAAGTTTAACCATGGCCGGCCTGATCGATCTTTGCTTGCTCCCATGAGCTGTGTCCTGTGCTTTTCTTTAATCAGCTTTTTAGTTTTTTTTGTTTTTCTCTTACAACAAATCAGCCGGAACAATATTTCAACTTATTTTTTCAGCGAAACGAACGGGGCCACGAGTGCAACCGCAGGCGATTAAAACGTCAGATAAATTAAACTCGCCATCCATGCCTGAGAGGCCCAAGAAACGTAACCGCGAGTTTCTTTTCTTGGAAGAAATGAAACCCCGGCAGAGCCGTTTACGACGAAACCCGGTGCACGATAGCACAGTCACCTGCTCACATTATTATGCATACATTTATCTATATACTCCACTTTGCACCTGCATTTGAAGCTCCAGCTGCACGAGAGATTGCCTGCAAGTCTGAGCATGCGCAGCAGCACACAAGAGGCCGTATAGCTTAACTTGCCTGAGCCAGATGGATCAATCATCCAAGGATCCAGCTAACGCACACACCCGCCGCGCATTTTAAACATGAATGGGTGTAGGTTGGCAGGCACGGCCGGCGACCCTCTTTGCCTTGAAGTTGCAGGTGAAAATGTGGAGGGACACACGCGCACACGCAGTGGCTCGCTGGAACAGACAGTCGGCAAACCACCATGCGTTTTAACAAGACGCAGTAGTTGCTTGCGGTGACGTGCACTGCATCCTTCTCGTTTCGATCGGTCCTGCACTCTTGCTCGCCCTCCAAAAGCTCACGCTTCTGAGCCAGTTGCTTTCAGACTGGCAGTTGTTAGCAGCACCTTGTCCGGGTTTGCTGTGTACTTGCTGAGCCTGAGATACGTACATCACGGCTGATGCATCCGCAACGAGAAATGCACTCCATCGTATCTGCTGTGACTATCCCTACAATTTACTCAATATCCCATCAAACGTACGTACGACACATGTATGAAGTATTAAATATAGACTTAAAAAATTAACTAATTGTATAGTTTGTGATTAATTTGCGAGACGAATCTTTTAAACCTAATTAGTCCATGATTTGATAATATGGTGCTACAGTAACATATATGCTAATAACGGATTATTTAGGCTTAATAAATTCGTCTCGCGGATTACGGATGAATTCTGTAATTTGTTTTTTTTATTAGTATCCGAACACCCTATGCGACACATCCTCGTATGACACCCAATGTAACGCCCCGAAACTTTACAACAGGATTTAAAAAAGGCTATATGATCTCCGATCTCTCACTGGAGCAAAAGAGATTCTCCATGCTATAGGTTGGCCAGGATCCGCGGTCTGCACTGCACCTGCACGGCAGCAGGGGAGGTTTTGGGAAACAAGGCAGGCCATCTAAGCCAATTTTGCAAGGACCATGTACGTGCTTTGTGCTGCTGCAGTCTTCATCGACCATCATGCACCGCAGGGTGAAGTGGCCAAGCCACTCTCGATCGAGAGACTGGCTTTGGTCTCTATTCTCCTGAAGAAAAAAAAAAGCAAAGCTACTCTTTGATGTCACATGCATGAGCCTGACAATAGTGACCGTCCCTGTTCGCTTAGTTGATAAGCCATGGCTGAAATTACTGTTGGCTGATTTGTTGTGAGAGAAAAATAATATTCGTTGGCTGAAAAAATACGGCTTATAAGCCAAGCGAACAGGACGTGCCCTGGCTCAGCTGGTCTCATCACAGCGAAGCGGTTTGGATTGAGTAACAATTCATGCTAAAAATGCGTCTGGTTAATTTCGGTAGTTGGTAAGGTTAAACTCAAGTTGGATGAGACTTAGCTAAGACAGTCTCAGGTCTCGGTGTTGTTCAGATAGGTCGAAAACTAGCTTCCGTATATGTCTGTTCCTCCAACAAGATGCATGGTGTGGAAACTAACAAGAAATCTGTGCTCCACATCTCCGCGTCCTTTTGGTGAGTTCGGCTCTGAACTCGTACGGCAGGCTAGACCATGCCACGGAGCAGTGAGGCCAACCCCAACCAACCGGGCGCCACGAGGCGGCCTGGTCAAAGTGCAGGTCATCAGAAACGCGCGTCTTCACCGCACACCTCACTTCACCTGCGTGCGATCCTCCTTGCTCGGCTCGCTGGCTTCTCCTCTCGATTCTCTTCCCTTCCATAGCCAGATAGCCTGCTGCCTGCTGCTGTCACCGTTACTGATGACCGAGCGGCAAAGCAGACGCCGCGTGATGAATGGTTGCTCTGCCTGCCTCGCAAGGGAAGCCAAGAACGCACCAACCGCCCTAGGAAAAACAGGCACGGTCTACAGGTTACTGCTGCGCGTTAGGTCACCTGTGGATCCGCCGGGCCTTGGACCACGGTCAGGCACGGGTCAGTTCGCGCGGTTTTTCAAATATGAATGATTTTTTTATCCATGACAACAACAAAGAAGACCACAAATTAAAACGCACGCGAGTTGAAGCGTCCCGGTACACCCATCCCACAAGCATGGTCGTTTCGTTCATTTTGGCCCCGGCCCAATGCAAACCGGCACGTCCACCCGGGACACACGCAACCCCAAACAACGCCCGTGCGGTGGCAGTGGCACCCAGCGACCAGAGCCCACCCCCGACCCGACAATGTCGCACCGCCCCGCACGCCCCGCCCGGTGTTAAGAGCGTGCGCGCACCCGAGCCCGCGCACAGAGCGAGAGCGAGTACATAAGCCGCGGCGAGGTTGGTGCCGGTAGCTCAACCCTCCTCACCTCACTCACCCTCCTCTCCTCTCCTCTCGTCTGCGAGCCCAGCCGAGACGAGCACCTTCTCCCCGACCACGTACCACCACCACCTGTGCGTGCGCCCTTTATACCTTTCGGCGCCGCGGCCGTCTCCGATGGAGGCGACGACGGTGATGTCGCAGGGTGGCGGCGGCAAGGACAACAGCGGCGGCGGCCGACGGAGGCAGCGGTACCGCATCGAGACCAGGGCGCTGTCGTACGTGCTCCCGCCGCGCGGGGCGCGCTTCATCCCGTGGTCCGCGTCCGCCGCCGGGGCCGGGGGGAAGGAGGAGGACCAGAGGCTGCTGCTGCGCGGCGTCACGTGCGAGGCGCCGCCGGGGGAGCTGGTGGCGATCGTGGGGCCGAGCGGCGCGGGCAAGACGACGCTGCTGTCGGTGCTGGCCGGGTCGGCGGACCCAGCAAGGGTGGCGGGCGGGGAGGTGCTGGTGAACGGGCTGCCCATGGACGCCGCCAGGTTCCGCCGCGTGTCGGGGTACGTGCCGCAGGACGACGCGCTGTTCCCGGCGCTCACCGTCGAGGAGTCGCTCGTGTACAGCGCGCGCCTGCGCCTGAGGCTGCGCGGCGTGGGCGGCGGGGGCCCGTCGTCGTCCGGCGCGGCGGAGGACCGGGCGCGGGAGCTCATGGCGGAGCTCGGGCTGGACCACGTCGCCGCGTCCAGGGTAGCCGACGTGTCCGGCGGCGAGCGCAGGCGGGTGTCCATCGGGATGGACCTCGTGCACGACCCGGCCGTGCTGCTGCTGGACGAGCCCACGTCGGGGCTCGACTCGGGGTCCGCGCTCCACATTGTCAAGATGCTCAGGGACATGGCCGCCAAGCACGACAAGACCGTCGTGCTCACCATCCACCAGCCCGGGTTCCGCATCCTCGAGCTCATCGACCGCGTCGTGCTCCTCGCCGACGGCGCCGTCCGACACCACGGCTCCCTCGACTTCCTCCAGTCACGCCTCATCGCCACGGGCCACGCCATCCCCGCCCACGTCAACGTCCTCGAGTACGCCATGGAGACCGTCGACTCCCTCAAGCCCGACGTCGCCGTAGCAGCCACTGCGGTCACCGCCGCCGCCGCTTCGGCGAACCCGGTGCCCGCATCCGCGCGGCAAACGGGGTACGCCAACTCGCCCGCGGCGGAGGTGCGCATCCTGGCGGGCCGGTTCGCCAAGACGGTGCTGCGGACGCCGCAGCTGTTCGCGGCGCGGATGGCGCAGTCGGTGCTGGCCGGCGCGTTCCTCGGCAGCATCTTCCTGGGCACCACCGACCTGCAGTCCCGCCTCGGCTTCTTCGCCTTCAACCTCACCTACCTGCTCTCCTCCACCACCGAGGCGCTGCCCGTGTTCCTACACGAGCGCCGCATCCTGGAGCGGGAGACCTCCCGCGGCGCCTACCGCGTGTCCTCCTACGTCGCCTCCAACGCCGCCGTCTTCCTGCCGTTCCTGCTCGCCGCGGCGCTGCTCTACGCGGCGCCCGTGTACTGGCTCGTGGGCCTGGCGCGCGAGCCCGCCGCCTTCGCCTACTTCGCGCTCGTTGTCTGGCTCGTCATGCTCACCGCCAACTCCTTCGTCGCCTGCCTCAGCGCGGTGGCGCCCAACTACATCGTGGGGAACTCCATCGTCGCGGGGCTCATCGGCTGCTTCTTCCTCTTCTCCGGCTACTTCGTGGCCAGCACGAACATCCCGCGCTACTGGGTGTTCATGCACTACGCCAGCCTGTTCAAGTACCCGTTCGAGGCCCTGGTGGTGAACGAGTACGGCGGCGCGCGCGGCGCCAGGGAGTGCCTCGCCTCGGCCGGCGGCGGCGCGGGGGCGCTCTGCGTGCTCGACGGCGCGGGGCTGCTGCGGCAGCAGGGGATGCGAGAGGGCATGCGGTGGACCAACCTGGGCGTCATGATCGGCTTCGTGGTCGGCTACAGGCTGCTCTGCTTCGTCTTCCTCTGCATCAGGTGCCACCGCACGAGGAGGTGAATGGCGGGAAACCATGCCAGTGGCGCCCATTTGGCCTTTGGCATGCAAGCAACTGCAAATAGTACACGCTCTGCTCGTTTAAATTTCACCTCATCATCTTCTTCTTCTCTTTTTTTCGTGTTTTTCTGCACGAGACATGGATTCGAATTAGGTTGTTGGATACGAATATATGTATATGTTTGGGAGATACTACTGATCGAGATCGAGTTGTTGTTCTTATGTATCAATAGTGGGGTTGATGGATGATGCTAATGGGAGAATAAAGATTTGATGTTCAGGAGGTTTCTGCTCCCAGTTCCAGGGAAAGTGTCACATTCGTGTTGGATTTGATATTTGGTAGCCCTGGCCAACGTGGGAAAGAGGTGGTTGAGAAAGACAGGTTTAAGTTAGCAGCTCGGAAACTTGCCTAATCGGCACCAGTTTAGGCGAGAAAAAAACTTGGTTTTCCCCACAAATTCAACTGTAAATTGAGCCCCCCTCCTTTTTTTTCATTTTGTTCATTGGTATAGGACCATTAGTTCAACAGAGCATGACAATGGTCAAGATCATTAAAAGGTTGACTAATGAAACCGTTTGCTTGGATAATCGGCAAACCTAGTGAAACACCTGTGCAACTACTCCTAATTTGGTTGTCTACACTCTGCAATGGATCATTCCTAACTTTTCTTACTCCTTTCATTCTAAATTATAAGACGTTTTAACTTTTCTAGGTATAACTTTTGCTATACAAACACTATATCTAGATATATAAAATCAATGTATCTAAAAAAAAATAAAACATCTTATAATTTGGAACGGATGGAGTACGTAAGTACATATTAGTATGTCTTTGTGTTGAGTTTGGAACTTTGGATAGTGGAAAATTGTACATGTAGTTCTATATGAAATATAGTTTTTATCATTATATCATATATTTTGCAAATATATTATAATAAAAAGTAGGGATCAAAGCTATGTTGCAAAGCACCAATTATTATGACTAGATTGAGTACATAGCATAGCAATGACTGTATTTATGCTTTTAGATGAAGAATGACTACATCTATAATCTATATATCAATATATTTCTTATAAAAGCAAACCTTGCTATAATGTCTATCTCTCCATGCAAGCTACATATTTACATCAGCAGGCCACTAGCACATGCAATTTTTTCATGTTAGTGAGTCATATCATGCACTAATATGAATTTAGTTGTCCAGGTCAGCGTACCACATTATACACTAGCATTCATTTATACGGAAGGGACAAGCACCAAATGTTGTTTGCCTAACCCTAGGGAAGGGGGAATTTTATGTCCAAAACTTTACTACGAGAGACATTGCATTGGGGACGAAATGGGCAACCATTTCTCTAATCCCTGTCGGTTGCCAACATGCAAAAAAAACATAGACATGCTCTGTAGATGTTCGCAAGAAAACGCCCATCGTGGCCGTTTCTTGGAGAGACAGACAGGACTAGCTGACTGTGTATGAGGAAATAATCCGTGTGTATTAATCCCTCTGTCCCTGAAAGCTTCAGTTCCTGGGAGATTTAGGACAGAGGGAGTAGTAGTCTATACCATACGGCCTGAGAGGTAAACTAAGGCCGTTTAGAGTACAGTTGTTGGTGCGACGCTTGTATGCCTACAAGAAACAAAAATCACCGCCTGGAATCAAACTCTTTTGACAGAGACAGTAGGAGCAGATATGGCAAACAACGCTGTTTGTCTTCCATTAATAGGGGCTTCCGGCGGTATCTTGATCGTGGCGTCAGAGCGCTTCTTCAGGATTCAACAAACAAGCTTAACGCCAAACACACTCACTGCAACAATCACCATGCTCGCAGAGAATAAATCTTGGTCCATTACCGGAGTCTACGGCCCCAGGCCAATATAGATAAAATCGTTTTTATGCAAGAAATCTTGAACCTGCGACAGCATGTCCTTCCAGCATGGCTACTGCTTGGGGATTTTAACTTAATTTACCAAGCACAAGACAAAAACAATGCACGCATCAATTTGTCAATGCTCAATAACTTCAAATACACCATTGATAATCTAGAGCTTGCACCGATTGTCCTACAAGGCAAAAGAATCACTTGGTGTAACGATCAGCAGACACCCACAATGACCAAAATAGATCACATGTTCGCTTCAACAGAATGGTTGGAGATATTCCCAAGAACCGACCTTCAAGCATTAGCTTCGCTGGGCTCCGATCACTGCCCACTCTTTCTTCAGGGGGATGTCGTTTTGGATTTCTATAGGGGTTTCAGATTTGAGGCGCATTGGGCACATATGCCAGGTTTCACTGAAACGGTACAGGAAGCATGGAATAGAGCGGTAAATACACAGGATGACATCTTGCGCATTCACATCAAACTAATACGTACAACAAAAGCGCTCAAGAACTGGAGGAGGAAATCTCTGGGCGGGTACAAGATTACTTGGGCAATTCTCAACATAACACTGGCCAATCTCGAGAGGGCTCAAGAGTCCAGAATACTGACACCAGAGGAGTTAGAATTCAAGAAATACCTCAAGACAAAGGCACTAGGGATAGCAGCGATACAAAAGGTGAGAGCTCGACAACACTCGAGGCTTACTTGGATTCGCAAAGGTGACACGAACACACGTTTCTTCCAATTGCATGCCAACATAAGGAGAAAGAAAACATTTATTGGTGCACTCAAGGGAGATACAAGCCTGGTGGTCTCGCAAGAGAATAAATCCATGCTCGCACATACACATTTCTCAAACCTGTTGGGGACAACAACCACAAGAACAAGAGCTATTAATTGGAGCGAGTTGGGATATGAACATCATGATCTAGAGGATTTGGACGCGCCCTTCACAGAGCAAGAGATAGAGGCTGTAGTGAAAGACATGCCTTCTGAAAAGGCACCGGGTCCGGACGGCTTTATTGGTGTGTTCTACAAAAAATGCTGGTCAATTATAAAAGAGGACTTGGCCCAGGCGGTCATGAGTTTTTACAATCACCGGACTATGAGATTAAACTTAATTAATGAAGCAAATATCGTCCTGTTGCCCAAAATATAAGATGCAACATCTCTATTAGATTATAGGCCCATTAGTCTGATCAACAGTGTAGTCAAAATCATCACGAAAATCCTAGCAAATAGATTGGCACCACACTTGAACTCCTTAGTGTCATATGCTCAAAACGTCTTCATCAAGAAGAGATGTATCCATGATAATTTCATTTACGCGCAGAGAGTGATTCAACTGTTGCATAAAAAGAGAAGGTCAGCGTTGTTCATCAAATTGGACATTTCCAAAGCTTTCGACTCCATAGGTTGGAGCTTTCTGCTAGAGGTGCTACAGGCTTTGGGCTTTAGCACAAAATGGAGGGATTGGATAGCGGCCCTACTTGGAACAACAACATCAAAAATATTGATCAACGGGGAGCCGACCCAGGGTATCAGACATGCACGGGGGTTAAGGCAAGGGGATCCTCTATCCCCCCTTTTATTCATTCTAGCCATCGACCCATTACAACGGATAATTGAAGCGGCAGCACAAAGAGGGATCCTTAAACCGGTGCTACCGAAGGTGGCTAATTTGCGGTGCTTCCTATATGCTGACGATGCAGCGATTTTCGCATACCCTGCAAATACAGAGTTGGATCATCTACTAAAGATACTAAACTTCTTTGGAGAATGCTCGGGGCTGAAAATCAACATCTCCAAGACGGAAATTTTCCCTATAAGAATTGACAACACAGTGGTCACTCAATTACTTCAAAATTTCCCCGGCAAGATTTGCAGTTTCCCTAGGAGATACCTAGGACTTCCTCTACACGTCCGGAAACTATGCAGGGTAGAGGTACAGCCTTTGATAGACAAAATAGGAGCCAGACTGCCAGGTTGGAAGGGCAGGTTCTTGTCCTCAGCGGGGAGAGAGACTCTAGTAAAAACGGTTCTATCATCTCAACCAATTTATCATATGACCGCATTCCCAGAACAAAAATGGTTAATCAGAAAGATTGATCGCTTGAGAAGGAGTTTCCTATGGAGGGGTGAAACGCCAGACAAGGTATATGGTGGGCATTCCATTATCAACTGGGCAACAACATGTAGACCAAAAGCGAAAGGTGGTTTAGGGGTTCTGGACCTTGAATGTTTCGCAAGAGCATTGAGACTACGATGGTTATGGTATCAATGGAAGCAACGAGATAGAGCTTGGAACAAGCTTGACCTTCCGGTAGATGACCATGACAAGGAGTTATTTGCAGCTTCGACAGTGGTGACAGTAGGTGATGGCAAGTTGGCCAGATTCTGGACGTCGTCTTGGGTCGGTGGGCGAACACCGAAAGCGATTGCACTAACATTGTTCAAGAAATCAAAAAGGAAAAATCTCACGGTGCAAAAGGCCTTGGAAGATAACCGATGGATATCACATGTCATTCCATTAGACACTGCACAGGAAATAAGAGAATACGTAACCCTTTGGGAAGAGGTGAGCCAAATCCAGCTAATAGAGAATACAGAGGACAGCATCCGCTGGCGTTGGACGGTGGATGGGGAATACACAGCCAAAAGCGCCTATTGTATTCAATTCCGGGCACATTCAAAGAAACTGAAACTTCAACCGATTTGGAAAGCAAAGGCGGAACCCAAATGTAGATTTTTTGCTTGGACTTCTTTGCATAAAAAATCCTAACGGCAAACAATTTGATTAAAAGAAATTGGCCAAATGACCCAAAGATGCAAGCTTTGTGGTATTGACCGGAAACACCGACACATCTTTGCAAGGACTGCACTTTCTCAAGGCAAGTTTGGTCCTTCATCAAGCGATGGTTCACCTATCGGTGATTGATAATGTCGAATGATGGGATCCCCGCACAAATCTTCGCGAAAGTGCGAATTAAGATGGACAAAGATCGAGAGAAAGGCGTTTGATGGTATTATGATCTATTTTTGGTGGAATTTATGGAAGGAAAGGAATCGAAGAACATTTCAGAACAAGTCGCTGCAGCATAGTCAGGTGGCACTCCTTTGCAAGGAAGATATAGAGCAATACTAGTTGACAACAAGATTTCATGATGGACCACAACAGGAGTAGTTCTAGTATTTGTTGGTCACTGTTCGGTTGGTCTAGTTTTGTGCTTTTTCGGTTTCAAGATGTTTTTCTAGACTTTAAGTTGTCGTTCAGGTGGGTATTTAGTAGGGTTGTCGGCCGGTGTGCCGTGGTGGCGGTGAGATTGGTCTCCTGTTGTTTGTTGTAATTCTTTTTTCTTGTTCCTTGTTGCTCGTCTAATAAAAATCCGGTAAATCTCTTGCCGCCTTTCTTCTTAAAAAAAAAAAGAGTACAGTTGTTAACGCAAAAGAAGAAGTCCAGGCTGTAACATTTCCACCAATGGCGTCATGAGTCACGCCTTGTATGATTGTATCTCAAGAGTCAAGACCCTAGCTGGCTAGCTAGCCCCGGCCGCCGAGCCAGAAACCTTCGGTTTCATCATCAGTCCGGGTCCGGCACAGGATTGCAGGATCGGGCAGCAGCCGATCTGCGCGTGCCTCCCAAAGCGGCACAGTCACCGCAAGTGCCGGTCGCTTTTGATGCAAAGGAACCTGCCAACCCAAGTCGGCAGATGGCCCCGGTTCCTTGCTGGGAGTAGTGGGGATCAGCTGAGCTGATGACTGGCCAGTGGAGAGGCAGTGCATGGTCACATGCACTCCTCTGGACCCTCGCGTGCCCGCCTCCCGTCCTCCACTCTACTGATCGCGTAGGCCGTCGCGCCGTCGGGTCGCCCGGTGTGCAGTGTGCTGCTGCATGCTCCATCATATCGCGGGCGCGCGGACGCAACGCAGCAGCCGCGCTCCACTCCGATCCACTGGTCGCCGGCTGGAAGCCTGGAACGGGGCCGCGCCCGCCGCCCACCCATCCGGACGGATAGCTCGCGTCGGGAGATATTTCTAGTCGGCGATCTGGACAGGAAACGAAAAAGGGATAAAAAAGAGAAGGGAGACGCTTTGGCTTTGCGGCGGTGCCCCGCCGCCGTACGTGTCCGCCACTATATACCGTCGCATCGCATGGTGGTGCTGCCGCGCGCCTGCGTTACGGGCAGGACGTCAGGTCGATTCGGTCGCCATGCATGCACGCTGCACGGCACGACCGGCGTGCTCGCGGGGCAGGGCACGCGGGATCGGAGTGAACCTGGTGTCCTGGTGTGGTGTCTGCCGGCTGAACCTGGATGCGCTGCGGTGCGTATATCTTCTCTTTTCTAGGCTCGAATGATGAGCAAGAGCAAGAGCGATGGGGCGATGGGATATAATCTCATAATCGGGACGGGAAGTGGCAAAGACGCAAAGTGCAGCCGCCGCCGCGCGCGGTAAATTTGGCTGGCCAAGATCCTTGTTTTGATCACGACATCCATGGTCCATCCGTCCGGCCGTCTGCTAATTTGATTGGCCGCATAAATGTTCCTTCCATCACGTCCGGTCCAATGAGCATGCTTCTGAGTGATCAGCACATAGTGCGATGCATGAGTGCAGACATCATGGTGGTCAAAAGCTGTGCCGGTTTGCCCGGCCAGTGTAATGCAGAGCACACTACCTGCGCGCTAGCTACTGACAGTGCACATGAACAAAGAGAAGCCGGAGCGCCGATATACAGGATAAGCCTATCTTGAATGACCAGCCATACGCGAAAGAGCCACTGAGACTCTACTTGGATCCTCAAAGGCTCAAACTCGTTTTCTAGAGTTGGAGTAAAAATTAAAAATAGGATAGTTCCTCTACTTGACTCTTCAAAATGAGAGGGTTCTCAAACCAGGCCACTAAGACCTTATTCTCAGGACGACCCCGCGCTTCAGGCCTTTATCCGGTATTTAGGTTGTTTTCCCTTGCATGGTGCTGAATCGCGCCCCCTGCTGTCCCGGCCCTCCAACGTGCCGCCATCTCATCGTCCCGTGTCATCCCGATGGTTCAACTTGAGATGTTTTGATCCTCTAAAAAAATTAAAATAACTTATAATTTGGAACGAAGTGAGTAATATTTATGCAGATCACACGAGCCCAGTGTAAAGCATGAATTCTGCAATATTTTCATGCCATTCATGAAGCGAGTGTAAAGCATGAATTCTACAACATTTCCATGCCACTCATGAAAAAAATATTCCTGTGTTCTCTAGTCGTTCGAAAATGGAATCGAAAGCAGAAAGCGAAATACTACAACTTTTTAAATAATGATTATTATTCTAAAATGCAAAGAAGAAGCTGATGCTAGCCTATGTCATATAGTCTTATTATGTTTTTTTTTTGAAAACTTCTTATTATATTTGTTGATGTTCTGTCTTCCGTACTAGTAGTTGTTATGACTTATAATTTTTTTCTCGAATACGTAAAAGGTTTATGTATCTTTGTATTAAGATAGAGAAATAGTGACATTTACAACGACGCGCCACGAACATGACACACTAGTATGGGGGTGTTAGTGTTATACAATCGTCCCTGCCCTCCCTAGCATAAGGAGATAATGGACTATTACTCGCTAATCATACTACGTAAGCCATCCGCAGCGCCTCAGACACTCTCCTTGTGGGTTAGAAAAGAGCTG